TCGCTCCTCGTACACCGAACGCATATAAGTCTAGGCCGAGTAGGAATTTAATCCCAGAAGTAAGGTGCATCTAATTGGATGGACGGTAAAACGTAAAACGTATTGCAGCTTAAAACCATTAGTTCTGCAAAGGATGAAGCATTTGAGCTCCTTTCAGTAAAATAAGTTGTGTTACAACTTATTCAGGAAGGCTTTGCAGCTTACACGTGACCTTGGTGACTGAATAAACTACTCATTCCTTTCACTTTATCTCCTGATCTTTATTTATCATTCCAATTGTTTTTCAAATTCATTATTTCTTCTTTGACTGTCTTCCTTAACAAGCTCCACCTTTTCAAAGGGAAACAAATAACTAAGCGGGAAAGTAACGTTGAGAAAGCCCAAATATCTTTGTAAATCATTCTGTCTTTTATTAACGTTATATTGGTGCACTGTTACCAATTTCAGTTATTTGAATCTAAGCAGTGAAACTTGAGGCAAAATAAATTGAACAAAATTAAAATTAACGAACAGAAGGAGGGTATTACATTATAGCGGAGCTCCGGCGGCCCGAGGGGCCGCCAAGCGGAGCCCCATACTCATATAGGAAAGAAAAGAAAACCCATGAGTTGATTTTCTGATGATTATCATGGTTAGCGGTATTGCTCGAGGGCGCGTACGTACGACGGCGACGACGACGGAGTCCCGCAACATTGCGGCCATACTCCAAATAATAGGATGACAGAGACATACAGCCTTGCTTTACCATGTACCTCTTTAATATTAGACATCCATGTTATAATCAATTGACAACTGTCAAAACGAGGTATCCGCTGACCAGTATCACGTGACCATATCGCGGGCTCAAGTTTACAGGTCATCAGGGTCACGTGTTTTTTTTGAAGTTGTCCGCTGACCAAGTGCTGGTTTTCGATTGGATTGCGGGCTGATGTCAGGTTAACTTATTGAAAACAGGGCAGGATTGTTCGGAAGCCGGTAAACGCTAACCCAGGATTAAAATTATAACTTTTTCTTCCATA